TAAGACCCTCGATCGCCTTTCTAGTACCTACTACTACACTACATTAGACATTAAGGACGCCTATTATCGCATCCGTATTCGCAAGGGCGATAAATAGAAGACAGCCTTCCGCACTCGCTATAGCTATTTCGAGTACTTAGTTATGCTATTCGGGCTAGCTAATGCTCCTACAACATTCTAGTCCTATATTAATCGAGCCCTTTTAGGCCTATTAGACTATCTCTATATAGTTTACCTAGATAACATCCTGGTTTATATACATTTACCTAATATTGCAGAACACTAGGCCGTAGTACGTAAGGTCCTCGACCGCCTACGAGCCTATAGCCTATATTACAAACCTTCTAAATGCACCTTTGCTACTAAAGAGGTATTATTCCTTGGCTTCCTCGTGTTAACTAAGGGTGTTAAGGCTGATCCTAATCGGATCAAAACTATTACTAAATAGCCTGTTCCTACGTCTATTAAGGAACTTTAATCGTTCCTCGGCTTCGCTAATTTCTACCGCCGCTTTATTAAGGGCTATTTACGGCATATAATGCCCCTAACTGAGCTCACTAAAACTAAGGCTAACCCGTCTAGAGAGTTTAAATAGACTAATAAGACACAAGCCGCTTTTAACGGTCTAAAGTAACGCTTTACTAAAGTGCCCCTATTGCACTATTTCGTGCTAAGCAAGCAGATCCGAATTGAGACTAACGCTTTACAGTTCGCTATATCGGCTATTATGTTATAGCAATCAGATAATAACTATTACTAGCACCCGATTGCCTTCTTTTTACGAAAGATAATCGATGTAGAACGTCGATATAAGACCTACGAGTAAGAGCTCTTAGCAATCGTAGAAGCCTTCAAGTATTGGCGCTACTATCTCGATAGTGCTTAGCATACAATTCAGGTCTATATAGACTATAACAACCTCCGTAGCATTACTAAGGTTACTAGGGTTATAGGTCGATAGGCTAGATAGGCTGTCTACCTCGCCGGGTTTGATTTTAATGTATTATATCGGCTAGGCGTAAGCAACCCTACTAATAGCCTATCGAGGCGACCTAATTACGATAGCGAGACCTAATATATCAATTCTTTGTTTCTAACCCTATAGCATAAGATTGCTATAGCCCGTATTATTAATAAGCAAGCGCAGGATAAGCGGACTTCCGGACCCCGCGGCGGCAACAAATACTATAGCGGAGTTGTCGTTCTTCTAGTGCGCGTTAAAAAGGACGTAGATCGCTCGAGCTATAATAACTCGATTAAAGACATTGCTATCTATAGTAATAGCCTATATAGCGATAGCACTATAGAAGAGGTTACAGTAGTTCCGGCTGCTAGTACTATTAGATGTATACAATGCGTACCTCGTTCGATAGCACAGGTGCTATTAAATAACCTTGCAAATAGGGATAGTTAATCGTTTATAGATAAGCTGTTACGTACTTAGTAGAGGGACGCCTTTGCTGTCGAGCGTATTAATAAGCTTGTAAGTAGGCGGGCGACTCGATCTAGTAAGAGTAATAACAATTAGTCGATCGACGACAAAGGTTACTTAAAGTTTAAGGGCAGATACTATGTCCCCGCTAAACAATCGATTAGACAAGAGCTTTTAAAGAGGCACTATAATAGTGAGCTCGCTAGTTACTATAGTATAGAGAGGTCGTACGAGTTACTATCGCGTATATACTACTAGCTAAATAGTAAGCGGCATATAAAGGAGTATATATAGACCTATGCAGTATACTAGCGAGTTAAAGCACCGAAGCACTTGCCGTTCGGCGAGTTGTCCTCGCTCCCTGTTCTAAAGAAGCTATTCGCTAAGCTAATAATAGACTTTATTATAGGCCTTCTACCTGCTAGGCGTAGGGGCAGCAAGGACGTATATAATGCTATCCTTGTTATAGTAGATCGATTTACTAAAGGCGCTCGATACATCCCGGCGCGTAAGGATTAGACTGCTATTAATATAGTAGAGGCGCTATAGACTAACATCTTCTATACCTATTAGGGAACCCCTAAGGGGATAGTCTCCGACAGGGGCACGACATTTATATCGCACTATTAGAGCGAAATATGCCTATAGCTAAGACTAAAGCATCGGCTATTAACAGCCTTCTATCTATAGACTAACGGTCAAATAGAGAGGCAGAATGCTACCCTATAGCAGTACCTATACAGTTACATTAACGAGAATCCTAAGGATTAGGTTAATCTCCTATAGCCTGCAGAATTCGTGTACAACAACAGTATACACTTATTAACTAAGGTTTTACTATACATAGCTATAATAGGTTAAAACGCCGCGTTGCTATAAGATCTATTTACCTCGCTTAAGGCCGAGCGTAAGGAAAGGGAAGCGCGTTAAGTACTAGAGACACTAGCGGCAATAGAACGTGTCTATAAGATGCGAGAAATCTATGCCAAGATAGCTAAGAAGTTGACAAAGGCTTAAGAATACTAAAAGGCCTACTACGATAAGCGTTATACACTAATAACCTTTAAATAAGGCGATATAGTTATACTTAGCACTAAGAACCTCCGCATCCGCAAATACCTATCGCCTAATAGTAAAACAAGGCCTAAACTTGCACTAAGATACATTAGCCTATTTCGCATCCGAGAACTGAAGGGCAATAGCTAGGCCTACTAGTTATAGCTTCTACCCTATTACACTATCTATAACACCTTCTATATCTCCCTCCTTAAACTATACTACTAGCGCGAAGGCGATAAAGCGCCTACTAAGTTAGAAGAAGTCTTAGCTAATAGTGAAGAGCTGTAGTCTATAGAACGTATCCTATAGCATCGTACTAGGCAAGGTAAGAAGGAGTACCTACTAAGATAGCAAGGCTATTTACCTAAATAGGACTCGTAGGAAGCTAAAGACTCTTTTAAAGACATAACTAAGTTGTTAGATAAGTATTAGACTAGTGTAAAGAACAAGAAGAAGACCAAAAGCTTATAATGTTACTATTAAGGCCTAGGATTAATACTACCCCCGGGGTGCTATTAGCTAACTAATTAGCTGCAAGCAATTGTTAGTAATAAGAGACAATAAGACTACACTACTATAGTAAACGCGCACTAAGTGTTAACAAGCGCGCTACGACGCGTTAACTAATCGCACGCTCTTTTAAGGGCTCTACCTCTTTACTAATACGCCCTATAAGGCCTTCTCCTAGCACTTAGGTCCCCCTCTTGTTCCTTTATTCTATCGAGGCCTCGAGGCCTAGGTAATCGGCAAGGACGGCGCGGCCGGCGCGGCTATATTAGTAACAGTGTTACGGAGTATATTAATGTTTAGGAAAGGAAGGACACCGCTATATTAGTAACGGTATTGCCGAGTTATTATTAGTTAAAGAAGGAAATTAGAAGAAGGTGAAGTTAGCGCTAAGACGACTAGCGTCGCTATTATTAATATTACTTGCTATTGTCGACCTTACCTATACTAAAACTCTAAGGCACCCTTAATTAAAACTTTAATTAAACTTTGAGGCTAAGTTAAAACTTTGAGCTGCTTAAAAGATTAAGTAGACTAATAGACTAACTAACTAAGGGCAAAACTATAGAGCTAAGCTAGCTAGGGTCGATCTTGCGGACAATAGATTACTCCTCGATCTATCTAACCCTTTAAGCGAGGCGAACCTCTACTACTGCACTTATAATAGCCTTTACTTATAGAAACTAGACGAGCTATGTTTTTTCTAAAAAGATAAGATAAGATTGACAATTGAAGGCTACTAAACCCAACTAATTAGGGCTAGCGAAACTACGAACAATAATAGCCCTCGTAATAACAAGAACAAACCCTCGGAAGTAGACAACCCTCGGAAGCGGATATAGCTAGGTCTTTTAGAGTAGACGCAAAGAACTCGGTACGACATTACGCAGAATAGGGGCAGTGCTACAATACCCCGTATACCTACCTATTATAGTAGGGAAGGTGCGCTCGTATTGTAATTAGTCGATAGTCCTCAATTCTCGTAGTTATATATTACTTTATTATATATAAGGATAGCGCAGTTAGAGTTAGACATTGTATTATATTAGAGGTAAGGTTTAATATAGTTATATAATCGGTGATTGCGTATTTAATTTAGCGCGGACTAAGAAGCTTACTAGACCTACTAAGCTAGTAGCGACAGAGGTTAAGAACAGGATATAGACCGGCCGCGAGGGCGCGGCCTTTAGAAGGGAAGCGTATATTAGGACTAAAGAGGTTACACGTAATTGGCATATAACTAGGCTCGAGTGAAGCTAGGGTCTTAATGCCTTAGGCAGGGCTTAGCGCTTAGCGTTAGGCTAACTGGCCTACCTTCCTCCCTCTCCTCTTAGATCTCTATCGAATACTATACTAATTTACTACTACCCTATCTACCTGCTAACATAACCCTTCTTATAGTAATAGAGGTTAAGATCGGAATATAGACAGGCTACGAGGGCGCGGCCTTTAGAAGGGGAGCGTATATTAGGGCTAAAGAGGCTATATATAATTAGTATATAACTAGGTCGAGTAAAGCTAGGGTCTTAGTACCTTAGGTAGGGCTTAGCGCTTAGCGTTAGGCTAACTAGCCTGCCTTCCTTCCTCTCCTTCTAAATCCTTATTAAATACTACTATACCTACTACTACCCTATCTACCTACTAATATAACCCCTTCTTATATTTTGCTAGGACCTCTACTTACCTTCTAATTCCTATAGTACTATAAGCTATTTCCCTATATATAGCTAGCCGGATATGGTACTATAACGTTAGTATCCTTTAGGCTTTAGATAGTATAGTAAGTACTTATCTTTTTTACGTTCCGAAATTTAATTAGCTAGTATCTAACTAATAAAGCTAGGTAAGTTAAGGAGTATAAGGCTTATACCGTAGTATCTTCTAATTTTTTTTACGCTTTATTGCACTATCGGACTAATAGCAGTGTTTTAAGCAATAGGTGGATAGGTAGTAGCAGGTTAATCCCTTGAACGGCAGATTCGCAGCCGGACAGCTCCCGCTAATGTTGGAATACAGGCGAAGCAAGCAAGCCCGAGAGCTGTTAAAGGGCTGCGTTGCGATGATTCTGCCCTGCTACTGCTGCTAGGCATACTGTACAATGTCGGCATTGGCGCGACAGCGTATGGATTGAGGGTCAACACGATCGGTAGTAATAAGTAGTCTGATTCCAGGATCTAGGCCAAACACGTGCTGATACCGCTGGATTCTACGTGCAGGTCTTGCGGCCTCGAATTGCTTCAGTCTGATGACGAACAGGTCATGTGACGAGGTATACGTTAAACATTTGCTGACCGATTGCAGCTCAACGAGCTCTGCATGCAGAAGATTCCTGCTTCAAAGTTTGGCAGCCCCGTTTTCCAGTGTCAAGAATGCATTCATGCGATATGATGGCACTCGCATGAGACAGCCAGAAAATGTTGATGGCGCGACGTCATCGACTTGAACTTTCCAGGTGCATTCTGCGGTGGGCGAAGTCAAGATATTGACTTGTTGGCAGTCCTGTTTCTCAGCACCCAAAAGCAAAATGTCAAGCCACGATGCTCTGTGACGTGTCAGTATCTGCTATCGAGATCGTGTCGCACAGGGCGGCATCGCCACTACTACTGTGGTCCCGACTCCGACCACGTCTCAGACTTGATGATGAGACAACGGATCGAATTTGAGGCACGGTCATCAAACGACACAAGAGCCAGGAAGATGCTGTCGCGGCTATGGGGAAGGTGGATTGTGGGTTGAATGATGCCTGCTGTGTCATGGCCAGAACTCCGGATTTTGGTTCCTGCATGCGTGGACTTGATCCGGATGCCCTTTGCGGGGTTCGAGCTACCGTGAACCTGGTATGTCCAAGTCTATGTGAAGACCAAACAGGGAAGCCTTTTGTGATATCGGCCCGTATGCACGAAAACGATGGATGGTGCTCGGGAGCCGAGCAGACTGCCGAGGAGCGGCACATTTGACGATCAAGACATCTACAGTATAGTTGAGCACAACAGGTTTTAGATTGTCGGATGGTATTTGGCCCGAGGAAAGTGAGGTGTCGGATGGTTTGTCATGCTGTGATGTAGCTTGCCGCAAAACTGATCATAAATGTCGAGCAGAAGCAAATCTCGCTTATTGGAGCAGGTCTGGTTCTTGTCAGACTCGAGGCCCGAGGCGCCGTGGTGGCACCAAACCAGCTGTACCACAGGAGAGTGCCATGTCCATCAAAATTTGAGGGGTGCCGTGAAAGTGTTCCAAATTGCACGGAACAGCACCAGAATACTTACACGACAGAGGACACCAAGTCCATCACGCACGATGGGAGTCGTGTCCTCCCCAATCCCCCCTTAGACGTGCTGCTTTTGGCGGTGGATGTCGAGAGTCGAGAACAGTGTCAGGAATCCAGGCCGGCGGTGTCCTGTCGGCCGGCAGTGCTGGCGTCTGATCCATCTGCTCCCCGTGAAGGCTATTCTGAAACGAGATTGCCTCAAGCTTTGCGGAGCCTTCTTCCTTGCTGAGTGGGGTGCGGGTGCGGTGTGGAGTGGAGGAAGCTTTTCCGTCTTTCTCACCTTAACCACCACTTCATACACACATCGACATCGCATCGGCCTCTCACATCACCATCGATCGCGCGAGTCGCCTCATTGGAGCAGTCGCTGACAGGACAAGCTCGGCGATTTCCCTCGCGCGCAGTATGACTCCTGGCTGATGAAGGGGGCTAGCATTTCCCCGATGAAATGTAATAAGGTGTGGCCTGCCAACCAACGCGAGCGGCGAGCGCGTGCTGCGATACGCATTCCCGAGGCGTGGCACGCTGCGTGGGAACACTGGACCGTCGACCCGCCAAGCCCGCAGCCGCCACGCAGATCATCAAGGCTGCGGCAGCTCTGCAGGCGATGTTCCGAGAGGAATACTGTCTCCCGTTCGCAACCAGAAACAGCGTCTGGCGGTGAGATGTGCTGGCATAGCGCGGCATCCCACGGCAGTGCTGCTTGGCCACTGTTTTTGATACATGGCAGCCAACCCGATTGGCGACCACGCCTTTCCCGTGTTTCCTGATCCCAGGGTATTCCTAAAACCAGTATTTAGGGAACGCCTCTGCGCATCATTCCTCCTATCGACTCTCCTTTCTGTCACCCCACAACGCTGACACACGACGTTGCACGTTCACAATCCGATCAGGTATATATTCTGGCCAGCCCTACACACCGACGCCTGGAAATCCCTTTCTCCACAACCCCCGACAACTCAAGACCTTCAAGTTGCCTTCAAGTCATTCACAACACCCTCACACAAACCTCAACCACCTCATCCTCAGCAATGACGGACACCATGCCCATGCCTTCCGGTGTACAAATCCCCCGCAACGACTCCTTCTCGGCGGAGGATTTCACCAGAGCCTTCAAGGCCTCAGCAACCAAGCCACGCAATGACCTCTCATTACGCATCGCTCCATCAAGGGACGAACCCTCCGTGCCACCGCCCTCGCCGCGGACATCAAGACCCTCGTCAGTCTACGGCGACCGAAAAAGATAGAGATCTGTCTCACAAGCTGGTCTTGGTTGACATCATCATAAGCGACTTCATTCATCAGCGTCCAGCGATGCCTCTTGATCACGAATAACTACATCACTTTACTCGCACCATCAAATTAATGAATAAACATGACACGGCACAATTCACGCCGCGCGCATCATTTTGTACTGTTCGGACATTTTGGTCATGGCGGAGAGGCAAGGCAGGGCAGGCTACACGTTGTTGTATCATTTGGGAAAGAAAACGGACTTGTAGCAGCGCTACGCCGTGGCGGTCAAACGGCGCAAAGGGACATTTTGGTTTTTTTGGTCATCAAACCTCTACACATTTCTTTTTTCAAAGAAAGCTCGCCAGTACGTATTGGTGAGGCAAGGACCCTAGAACTCAGGGTGTACTTTGGTTCTATTTAATTGCCGAAAAATCCAAACACCACTGTACTTCGGACTGCGAGTCTATCATCATCACACCTGCTCATGATTCCACCATTTTTTTTTCTCCGCAAATTCACTCAGAATGTAGATCACGCCATATATGTACTGTACATGTACATGCAGGTGTCACAACTGCAGCTGCATGAACATAGTAACCGCCGTAGACGTATATGTACTAATACATGCTCGCTGAAAGTATCGAACGAACGATCGAAACAAAAAATCTGGATTCTATTCTATCTATCTCCGCATAAAAAGCAGTCTGTTCCAAAATTGTACAGTACATTAGCAAACTCCCCGTCCCCGCAATCCGTCGGTGCTGCGGTGGAATTGGATATCATTTTTTTTCTATTTCATCGAAGCTTCGTTGAAATTCCCGAGTCTCTGGAACCTAAGCAAGCTATCCCCGTCCTGTCCCCGTCCCCTCCCTCCTTGTCTTCCCTTCCCTTGTCTTGTATAGGACGATTAAGCGAGATGGCGGACGGGGGTGATCCCCGTAAGCGGTAGCTAGCTTGAAAACGTTAGACGTGGACTTTTTAAAGGTGCGGATAATTCCTTTAGGTAGTACGCTAGCTCTAACTAGCTAGATGCCGTTTTTAGGGATTACCCCCGTCCGCTATCTCGCTTAATCGTCCTATACTATAGATCGCGATATTGCCTATAGGAAGCGTAGGATGTTACTATACGACTAGTGTTTATATATAATATAGCTCGAAGAGCTATATAAGAAGCCTAAGGCGACGACTCGGAGTAGCTAAAGTCTTATCTAGGACGCCTATAGTAGGCGTAATCTAAAACGCGTATAGTAAGTTATATCTAAAACGCTAGTAATATTAATCCGGAACGCGTTATAGGTATTAGAAAGCACTATTTAGAAACGCTTATAGCGAGCACTATTAGAAACGCTTATAGTAAGATAGTCTAAAATATCTATAGTAACTACTTCCGGAATACGCTTATAGTAATTACTATCCGGAATACCTATAGCGAGTACTATTCGAAATATCTATAGTAAGTAGTTCTTTCTAAGTCGGAACGCTTATAGTAGGTACTATCTATAAGGCGTATAGTAAGTCTAATCTAAAACGCTTATAGTAATTTTAATCTAAAACACTTATAGGAATTCTTATTTAGAACGCTTATAATACTAAGTACTATTTAGAACGCGTATAGCAAGTCTAATCTAAAGCGCTAATAGTTAGTACTACTATCTATAACGCCTATACTAAGTTTTATTTAGAACGCGCTATATAGTAATTCTAATAAATCTAATCCAAAACGCTTATACTAAGTCTTATCCGGAACGCGTATAGTAAGTCTTATTTAGAACGCTAACAGCAAGTACTATTAAGAACGCTTATAGCAAGTAGTACTATCTAAAATACCTATAGTAAGTACTACTTAGAATACTTATAGCAAGTCTAATCCGAAACGCCTATAGTAAATACTACTAAAAACACTTATAGCGAGTAGGTATATTTGAAACGCTTATATAGCGAGTAGTACTATCTAGAACGCGTAGAATAAGCCTTTCGAGTATAGCGTATCGAGTAAATACCGCTAGATTAGGCTACTAGATTAGGCGCAAACGACTAATATTATATCGGAGTTACTACTATTATAGCGGCGAAGCGTTACGATATATACTACGACTCCTACGCCCTCTAAACTACTCGCGAACTAAGAAATTTTAAAGTTTCTCCGTAGCGACGAATAATTAGAGTTAGCTTTTAGCTCGTTTTAAGCCGTACTAGGCCTAAAGGGGCCCTATTTTTTTATTAAGTTATTATATTTTAGATCTCCTTTTAGAATTTAAATTTTAGATATACTAGAGATATACTATATACTATCGAACTATATTTACGACTACGACTACGACGATAATAGATATAGATATATTTAAGAAAGTTTCTCGAATATATATATACGTTCTATTATATATATATCGAAAACATACTTCTATATAGAGTAGTAGGATCTTTATATAGAGTACTAGAGAGTTTTTTATTACATTCTATATAAGTTATCTTATATCTAATATCTAGCTAGCTAGCATTAGTCTCTAATAAAAAGCTATCGACCTACCTATATTATTTAAGTTTATTCTTAAAGCAACTAGACTACTAGAATACTCTAGGAAAATAGAAAGTTGCTTTTTTTTTAAATTTTCTCTCTAGTATAATTTAATTCCTTTATTATAGAGATACGACTTAGGGAATTCTCTTCTCTACGCTCGAGAAAGCGGTATGTATTTAATGTTTATTATAAATTAGAGGTAGAGGAAGGGATTTGGGTGAAGGGAAGGATTGTTCTAGATTGTTAAACTCTCGGATAGTGCAGTGCGAAAGTTGAGATGTAGCGTTGAAGAGGACAGGATTTCTACGGTTGCAGCGTGATGATTGTGTCGAGAATTGTAATTGCATATGCGGCTGCTTGCGAGTGTGGCACTGTGATGAGCGTGGCATGCTGGAGTCAGTAAATTTTCTTTCACTCTATTCCTATCTCTGCGCGGAGTTGGTGTCCAGGTCCATCAGCGCGGCTTCCATATCAGCATCGTCCTCCATATACTCTTCCTGAGCTTCTCTCATTGCAGAATCATTGTTGCCGTAGTCGCCATTCTCATCGAGCTTTGGTTGAGAAGCCGCGACCTTCTGCTGGTGGGCCACCAAGTCTTCGTAACTCCACGTACTGATACCCTCTTGCATGGAGATGGGAAATGGCTGACTCATCTGCTTCAAGAACTTCTTTGCGGCGGCAACAGCCTGATCGACAGACATGTTGGTGTCGCTATCCATGAGCTGGTTGTTGATCCACTTGGGCAGTTGGTTCCGCTTCTTGGCGAAACGCTTATCCGCCATGACCATGACGCCGTAATCGTCTTTGCCACGCAACACACGACCGAGACATTGTGCGCAGTGTCGCATCGCATCGAAGGAGAGGAAGTCGTTTTCCTTAATCCGGTAGGTCTCGCGCAGAAACTCGAGGCGAGCTTTCAGGATGCGCGATTCTGTGTATTGAAAGGGCACGCCGATGCAAAGCACCGTGCGACCATAGTGGTGATCGAAATCGATCCCTTCAGACACCTTTCCTCGTGCGACACACAGCAGTACAGCACCTCTGCCGTTACTGCATGCCGTTCGATAGGTCTCCAATGCGAGAGAGGTCTCTTGACTATCCGGCGTTTCTACCAGAATCAGCTTGCTCTTCCACACCGAATCGAGGATACCCATAGTCTGCCACATTGAGATGACGCTCTCCATGTATAGGTAAGATGGAAAGAAGACCACGATCCCATCCGGTGTCAGCTTGGAGAACTCGATGAGAAGGTTGCCGTAGTTGCGAACGTTGGCTGGATCGTTACGCGTTTGGAAGCCCGAAGATATCTGGCCCTGATCGGAGCCTCGTGTCACGATCATCGGCAAGAAAGACTTTCTCGCCAGCGTCATCGTGTATGATTCTTGAACTACACACTCAAAGCCCAGCATTTTCGGATACATCTCCAGAGGTGAGATTGTTCCAGAGGTGATGATGACTGAGCTGAAGCGGTCAAAAACGGGTTTGATCGCTATCGCTGCATCGAGGCATGTGAAGTGGAGGATCGGGTTCGGGACGGTAGCAGTGTCGGATTCATATGGTTCAAGGATCAGCAAGAATCCAGTATCATAGGTAGCGGCGAGTGTTGCGAACGTTGCCACTTCCTGTAGTGGCTGATAGTCTTCGATGTTTGTGAGTTCCAGTGTGCGGACGAGAGAGGTTAGACGTTCGGCACAAAAGCGGAGCGGTTTTCTCTCGATGAAGGTGAGCTCTTTGAGATGTTGCAGAAATGACGGCGGCGTTTCCGAGATGACGTGTAACACCTTCATACGTGTTTTGAGGTATTCGATGAATCGCTTCAGGAAGGCGACGAAGTGTTCAGCTCTCCGGATGTTGCCAGGGACCGCTTCTTTTAGCAAGTCGTCTGGGAGAGCTGGATTAGACATGAATGCTCCTTCGTCACGAGCCGCGTCGGCTTCTCGTAGACCTTCGACGAGCTTTGCATACTCATTCTGAAGTTTGTCTGCATCAGTCTGCTTCATCGTGGTAATTTCTCTCTCCAAGTTGGCAGCACCTCTGGCAGCCTTCCGCAAGGAGTCTTCGGTCAGGTCTATGCTCAGCGATTCGATACAGACGTTGTCGATGTTGTGTGCCTCGTCAAAGACGACGATGCAGTCCTTGGAGAGCTCTCTCGACACCCGCTCCGCAATCTTTGGATCCAGGAGATAGTGATAAGAATAGATGATGACGTTGCAGAAAGGCATCATCCGACGCGCGGTGAAGTAGGGGCACTGTTTCTGTTGCTCTCCATATCGCAGCATGCCATCGAGCGTCCAGACTCCTGGCGGGATCAGGTTGTGTGGCTCAAGCAGGTCGAGATTGTCGTGGTAGATGCACACGTCGACATCTTCGCCACGATCCTTCTTCTCCTTGACGAAAGCAGCCGTCAGACTTCGACATCGCGCATCTACGACCGAGCCGCTCTTCTCCTGTTTGACGGATGGATGCAGGCAAAGATTCTTGCGACTCGTGAGGCCCAGTCCTCTGAAATCCTCGGCATGCCCGAGCTGGTCTGATCGGTACTTCATCAATGCTTTGAGTTCGGCGAGCGCCTTCTCGATCTCCGACATGGTTCGCGAGCAGTAGATTAGCTTCCGATGCTCGGGATAGTGCTGTTGGTACGCGACAATCAGCGAAAGAAGCGACACGGTCTTTCCCGTGCCTGAAGGCATCTCCAATACGCAGTGGCCGCCGGAGTCGAGGGTCTGCTTGAGCGCGCACATGTACTCCTGCAGTCTGAAGTAAGCGCATGCTGCGGCGTCTTAGGGAGCGATGCGTACATATTGCTCGGGATATATTCTGGGGTATGGAAAGAGCACGGGAAGGTCTGCCCCGGTCAGCGCATTGCCATTGCCATTCGACCGCCACGGAAGACTCGCCTCCAATATAGAACTTCATCTTGCATGCCCGAAGCTAGCGCCTGGCGCCTCGCATGCCGATCTGCTGAGGACGTGACCGTGACCACGCTCATCAATTGCAACGTCGCTCCTGAATTATGAATGCAGCTTGTCGGATGGCAGAGGCAGTCGCGATGACCGACCTTGCATCGGGCCGTCCCTCCCTACAGTAGCGCCGAGCTTAGCTTAATCGGCCTGCCTTCGATGACCTCAGAAGCCGTGCATCTTTCTTTCTTGACCAAACACTCAACTTTACATCCGACTTTTTCGCGTCATGAAAAAGGCTCAGTTCAAGTCGCACGCCAGCAGTGGTCGGGCTGGCGGATTTGGCGGCGGATTTGGTGGCGGATTTGGTGGATTTGGTGGCTCAGCGCAGTCATCTGTGCTCTCATATGTCCAAGAACCTCCCGACTACACCATCATCAGCGACTCGAATATTGTGCTTGCATTCAAAAACCTCACCAAGAAGGACGGAACGACCAAGGCCAAGGCTCTCGAGGACCTGCAAGGCTACCTGATTTCTGGCGAGACCGAAATTGAGGATGGCCTTATCGAAGCATGGGTGAAGCAGTACCCTAGGCTCTCTATCGACAATGCACGTCGAGTCCGTCAGCTCTCCCATCAGCTTACAGGACAGATGGGAGCGAGACTGGGAAAGCGAATCGCCAAGCATCTCCCAAAAATCGTTGCACCTTGGCTGAGCGGGACATTTGACGTAGATCGTTCTGTCTCGAAATCTGCGCAGGATGCTCTGGCGACTGTGTTTCCGTCTTCAGAGAAGGTTCAAGGACTGCGGAAGACCTTTCACGAGTCAATAATCACATACTGCAAGCAAGCGGTGTTGGATGAGACTGTTGGCAGTCTTAGTGATGAGCGGTCTGTCAGTGCTGATGATGCAAAAGGAATGTATGCACGAGTGGTATCCTCGGGCATTGCGGTAATCTCAAGCTTGATCGACAGCCTCTCGCCTGAGGAATTGTCGAAGCAGAGTAGCACCTACGACAGCATTCTGGGACATAAGAAACTATGGGAGCTGTCATCTTATGAGGACTCGAGCGTCAGGAAGGCCGTTCATCGCTTGGTCCAACTTTGCCTGCAAAGGGAGAGGTCGTTCGTTGGAAACAACCAAAAACTCGCATCTAACGCCTATGTCTACAAAGGTCTGGCATCTGATCAGACGGGATCTGCACTCGACTTCGTCTCCACCCTACACGCATTGACGATCGCATTCCCGGACGTCTGGACAACTGCATACTCTGGGAAGAAACCAGCTCTCTCTCGCCTACGGCAATGCTTGAAGAGCGGCGCGCATGCGGGTCCAGCAGGTTACTGGGACATCATGGCAGATCTACTCCGAAGACTACCCAGCGAAGTCTTGCCAACAAGCTACGATGACATTGCCGATCTTCTTCTAGCCACGCGAGATGGTGTCAGCAGGAAGGAAGAGCGCTTCAATGCATCAGCGGCATGGCCGGCATACTTCAGCCTTCTTGACATGGTAACGCAGCAAACATCGGACGAAGACTGCGAAAACCTGCTGGAAGCATTCGCCATGCCACCGATCAATCACTATCTCCATCCTTCTGATGAAAGCGCAAGGTGGAGCGTAACAGGCGCCAAGGCTGCGTCGCTGGTTGCAAAGGTCACCATTGTGAAGCGCCTGCCACCACTTCTCGAACGCAAATGGAAGCATCTGGGCGACAAGCTCGTCGAAGTCGCAAAGATGTCTCAGCCGGAGCAGTCGAAAGACTTCGACAAGTCACAGAAGCACGTGGCGACTGTAGGCGAGCGATGGGCAGCACTGCAACGAGAGCTGTATTCTAGCGATTATGGGTTCCTGGATACAATGAAGCAGGTGTTTGCAAGCGTGAATACAAGCATAGCGAGTGAGTGTATTTCACTGCTCAAGACTCGCAACGGCAAGCCGTATGGCGCAGCAGCTGTTCTTGAAGAGCAGCTGCGCAATTGCGGAAGCTATCTGTTGTCGGAAACATCCTTCGCCGACTTGGTTAGAGGCTTCGTCACTGGAGATGTGCCGCGGCTGGTGTATAGTCCGTCGCAGAAGCAGATCATACGCTGTTTGTATGCCGTACACTCCGAGCCTTGGTTTGCAGAGGCATTCCAAGCCGTTCTCAGCCACGCTCTCGACAGCAAAGAGCCAGAAACCGCAAAGATTAGTGCTTTACGCTCACTATTTCCGCCCAATACACCACCGTCGGTCATTCAGGATTCACAAGCTTCAGAACCACTGCAAGAGTTCCTATCGAAGCATGCTTCGCCCGGAACCGAGCGCGAACACACAACTTTGTTCTCAGAGCTCCTTAAGCTAGGCGTTGTCTCCCAGGATACATCTAATGCGGTGCTCGCCGGTCTGACACAAAAGCTATCGCTCTCTGGCAACGAAGTCCTTCTTGGACTGTCTGCGCTAGATCAGGTCGCGATGACGAACGAAAGCGCAGTCAGAGCATTCATGTCTGGAACCAACACTGCGGGTGAGCAATTGTTGTCCAGTGTACTTCGCCTTGAGCAGTCACCCCAGGATGATGTCGCCGAGAAAGCTACAACCTTGTCGTCGCGACTGACATCATCTATGGTTGACGCACCTGCGAACACCAAATACGGAGTGATTTTGCAGAATCTTGAACGAGTTTCTGCATCTTCATTGCCCATAGAGTCAGTTATCGACCTTGCAAACAAAGTCATTGGAGCAGGAGAGGATGTGACAGATAGCAGTGAACTTCTGCCAAATCTCGAAACTTGGCGACAAGCAATCTTTGCGACACTGAGACCGCTGAAAAGATCTCTAGCATTGCTTAGCCCTCTTGGAGGGGCTGTACATCTTGTCGGATCGGCAACCGAGACCGAAACTGCGCATTACGATGCAGAGGGCCTTTCACAGGCGCTGAGAATTGCAATGTACTACGCAAATGTCCTCACGGCGGCGCAGAAAATCTCGCTCCAGGGTACTGATAAGGCAACTCTTCTCGCCCTCCTCAATGTCTGTCTCCTTCTAGCCGAAGATAACACCAGCATTGCCGGCGCAAATGGTCTGTGGAAATCCAATCAAGACTTGAACCTCGACATTGAGATCATGGAATTTGTTAGCAACGCGAACCAGCTTACTCGAAGTTACTGGGACGAAGTTGGCGCAGATTCAGCAGCTCCCGGCCCAGCTCACTTCTTCGATGTGCTTCAAGGTCTTCAGAAAGAACATATGGGAACGCCAGTCGCATACTATGCAGCACTTGCGTGCACAAAGTCGCATGACAATTTCTTCGAGCTGAATGGATACTCAGCGGATCAGGCCAAGACCAGTGAGGAAAGACTTCGAATGCTACGATCAGCCAAGAACACTATGGACCTCGTTGCATATATCGTTGGCTTCGCACAGCCGCTGGGCGGAAGCCGATTTCTGTCTCGCCTATGCAACGAGACCGCAGCAGATCTCACCGACATGTCCCTGGAGGTCGATCAAGCACGAGCTTTGGAATCGCTCATCCTCATGAACCAGATCTTGTACACTCAGCCTGACGAAATCGACACTATAGCCAAGAATCGCATAGTGTTCTTGGTCAAGCACATCGTGTCCTGGCTCAAGACGGATGCGCCTCTGGAAATCAAAGCGGAAGTATGCAAGTCGCTATCGCATCTCCTGGCCGGCATGGCCGATATGTATGGGGATCACTGGACGAGCGTTATCGAATCGCTGGTCGACTTCTGGAACGCTTCTAGCTCCGTTGCTGATAGAGGAGCAATATCTGAACCCAGCATTCTGGTTATTCACGCCACTTTGAAGCTCTATGCCAGCCTGCGAAAGCTTTCTCGAGGGGAAGAGCCCAACGACGACCTTGCAGATGCGCTCAAGCAAAGCGAGGACTCCCTCCGCGGAGGCTTGGTCGCATTACTGCAATCTGTCAGCGGCATTCCTGACCAATGTCACCAACCTTTGATGGTCACCAATGAGCTTCTTGCTCGACAAATTTCCCAACTACCACCCAAGCCTGTCAGAGACGCAGAAGAGTTGTTCCCATTGTTATACTCTCCGTCTCAAGCCGTTCTTGGTGCTGCATTTGAGCTTCTTCATCAACATATCCCTCAGGCGCAGGAGCAGATCTCATTCGATGCAGCGCTTGAAGACAAGAAGGCAAGCTTGCCCGACGAGCTCTTGTCGCTCCTCATCGATGCTCCGACTCTAGACTCACTAGCTGATTCCTCTTTTGACACAATGATGCCATTGAACTTGCAAGGCTACCTCTACAGCTGGCGCCTGGTATTCGATCACTTCACGGGCTCCAGTTACAGAGTCAAGGGTGACTATATCGAGCAGCTGAAAGAGAACGGCTGTCTCAATGGCCTGCTGCAACTCGTTTTCGACTTTCTTGGCCACACGCGCGGTCGTCCGGTGGATGCCTCCAACTTTGATCTCAGAACTTACACGGCAAATCAGGAATCCGGCCCCGAGAAGGATGTTCAGTCGCTGCTCACTCACCTTTACTACCTGTCCTTGGCCAACCTGCCCAGCCTTGTGAAGAACTACCTCAACAATGAGATTCGATCCCGCCAAGCACCTAAGACCATCGAGGCCTGGACAGCCAAATTCATCAGTCCGCTGATCATCAGCTCCAGCCTGGAAGAAGTGTCTCAGTGGAACGAAAAGAACGTCAAGAACGATCCCGACTACGAAGCAATGACCATCAAAGTCAACCCTCGCGGCCGCGAAGTCTACGCAAACTACATGGTCGATGAGCAAACCATGGCGATGAAAATCGTGCTTCCAGAAGCTTATCCGATGCAAAACGCTCGAGCCGAAGGCATCAATCGCGTCGCCGTGAGCGAGCAGAAATGGCGCTCGTGGCTCCTCAATTGCCAAGGCACCATCACTTTCTCCAACGGCTCCATCATCGACGCTCTGACCAACTGGCGCAAGAACGTGGCCGGCGCGCTCAAGGGTCAATCGGAATGTGCGATTTGCTATTCCATCATCAACGATGCGAAGGAGTTGCCGACCAAGCGCTGTCCGACTTGCAAACAGATGTTCCATAATCAGTGTCTGTTTAAGTGGTTTCGATCGAGTAATTCTAGTACTTGTCCGCTTTGTAGGCAGCAGTATCGGTATCATTAGGAGGGATGGAGTGATGAGGATGGAGATGATACATGAGGAATGATGGTATGGAAAAGTTTCGATCAATGTGCTTGGGACTCTGATGCTTGCTTGGGGTCTGGCTTCGCTTTGTGGATGCTCTCAGGCCATACAATGTGCCATTTCTGTCCTTTCGATCTACTCCTGCTCGTGCTCTGGGCTGCTCGACCTTCGATCATTGCTTTTGTATAGATAGCTTTGCAGGGTGGTTGGAGGGGCGGACCGAAGTCCGCCCGCTGGCTTGGTAGAACTGGAACATTGCATTGCGATGCTCCTACGCTGCCCAACAACCCACAAAATGCTATGTTCTCGTGCCGCTTGTCGCTGTCAACAGCGGATCTTAGATACGTCGCTCGAGCCGTATTGCGGCGAATGAGATCGGCGGAATTACGACGTGTCGCCAATGGCTCATTACACACTGTCCGGACGATGAGCAGCTCGTGTAGTCACCGTTCTACTTCTTCCTTGTTCCACTACACCTCTGGGCGATGGGTGTAAGTGCGGTCTAATGTCACAGATGCCGCACCTTCTGCTAACTCAACAGATACAACGAGGATAAGCGTCTCAAAGAGCGAGAGCGCATATTCGATGTCGATCAGCTGCAGTATCTCGCCGCCCAGGCGGTGTCTCGACATCGGGAAGATGTTACCCGCATCGAAAAGCTAGGCGAAGGCGCTGCCAATCGAGCATTTGCGATTCGGTTTAGAGATGGTCTCCAGGTAGTCGCACGCATTCCTTATCCTGTGATACAGCCAAAGGGGCTCGTTGTAGCAAGCGAAGCAGCGACGATGACTTTCCTCCGCTCAAAAGGCATACCGGTCCCGCAAGTGTTCGGGTACTCTTGTACCTCAGGAAATCCTGCTGGCACCGAATATATCTTCATGGAGTTCTGTTCCGGAAGAGACCTTGCCTGTGCATGGGACGAGATGGCCGACGATGACTGCAGTCGTTTCATTCAACATCTGGTGAACGTAGAAGCCCGACTTTCAGCTATTCGTCTACCAGCCTATGGCAGCCTGTATTTCCTTCGAGATCTGCCCTCGAAAGGGAGTGGCGTTCCCATTGATACGCAAGACGCTAGCAACCCAGACTCAATATACATCGGTCCAAGCACGGGTATTCAATTTTGGTTTGGCAAACGGAGTAGCCTGCAGATTGATCGCGGACCTTGTGAGTATCGAGTCCCCGTTAAACTCGCATGCCTTCACTGACCATAGACCACACAAAGTCTCCCAACCAGAAGCTGCCATGAATGCAGGCGCCGAAAAAGAAAAGAAGTATCTCGAGAAGTATGGGCGCCCGCTCCTCCCATTCAATCGCTTCCAAAGAGAGACGTTCAATTTCCGAAAACAGTCGCCTTCAGTCCATCTCGACAGTCTTCGGAAATACCTGCAGATCTCAAAGCACCTGATCCCTCATTCTGAAGCCCTAACATCGTCGGTCCTGAGACATCCCGATCTTCGTCCTAGCAATGTGTTCGTCTCTGAGGATTTTCGAATAACTGCGCTGATCGACTGGCAGCATAGCAGTGCACTGCCCATGTTTCTGTCAGCTGGGATTCCAGAGTTCTTAGACAAGAAAGGATCGCAGCCACCCGATCAACCTCTAGAAATGTCAAACAACACTTCATCGCAAGAGGACGAAGACGATAACATTAAAGCTCAACATCTCTATCTCCAGCGCCAAAGAGAACTTCGCAACACTTACATCGGCGCCGTGGAGCAACATGACCCTCTACACTTCGAATCCCTTACCTATCCCTTCTCAATCGGTCGACAGAAACTCCACCGCTTATCAGAAAATCCGTGGCAAGGCGACAACATCCCCCTTCGCTCCAGTTTGATCTTTGTCAAACAGAATTGGCCGCAAATCACATCTGATCCCACCATCCCCTGCCCAATTGCATTCACGGCAGAAGCTGAGCAGGAGTGCTTACGTCTCGATGATGCCGAGCAACAAGGTGTCGAGCAGTTGGAAGCCTTCAAGCAGGCCATTGGTCTAGGGCCGGAAGGCTGGGTTTCCCACGAGAATTACAACGCTGCGAAAGAAGCAATCGCACGGATGAAAGAAATGTCGCTGCAGCTGGCCGAGACGGAGGACGAGGTGATTGCTATCCGGGATCATTGGGTTTTTGATGATATGGATGAAGAGGAATACTCATGAATCGTGGCTTTCGTACAAGTCGTGGGTTGCACCCTGCTCTGCTCTACACGGAACTGAACGGACCTTTGCATTCGTCTAGACCGCTTGAACCCACAACTTCTACTTGACGCACTCCAAAGCTCCAGACAACAAGGACTGCTACGCCGCGAACCGCTGTTGTCATCGAGGATCTTGCTACGCCGAAGATGAGAGTGAACGCGATCAAAAACTTTTTGGAGTCGCATCGATCCAACCAACGGTGAGAAGTGGTCGAAAATGCTCAGCTATCCTACCTAGATGAAGATACTCGTCGAGAGGCGACTTTCGACTCTGGAGTCCTGTGACAGACAAGATACATATTGTTTTTTTTTTCACTTAAAACATACCGGGGGTTGGCAAGTTGCTTACTGATTGCGAGTGATTGGAGAAACAAAAAGTGTGTCATCTGGGAAGGATTTTGGTGGCGAGGCATCGAAACGCTTTCAGAATTGTGAACGGGGTCCAGTTGTCGTTGTCAGATGATGCTCTCAAGACTACTCAAATGAAGTTTATATACCACGGTTATATGGTACTCCTGGCAAAATGCGCCCTGTCTGCACCTTGCGCAACTGATGTAGACCGGTGCTGCTCAATGGCTTCACTGATGTAATGTTCATTGTTCAGACTCTTAGGAGAGGGGACTAGATGGCTTTCATGTATTTGCAAGCAAGCAGCTAACAGCGAAAATATGAATATAAAGAGGAAAGGCTGAAATGAAGATGGAGGCAACGCGAAATAACACGATCGGTTCGCTTCGCTTTGGGCAGACACAGATGGAGGTTATTTGGTTGTGCAGGCGGCAAGGAAATGGGTCGTAGTTGCGTGAACGACGAAGTCAAGCGATGGAGACTTATGTAACAGCTAGACTCAGACCTTGCACAGGACGTCTATACATATGAATCGTTGAGCCTAGGAAGTGCCAGTCAACTCGTTCAGCAGACACGTGAAGACAAGACTTACCAAGTCGGCTGGAAGGATTTGATGTGAGGATGTCGAAGAAGTGCATTAGTCCTTCGAGCGTCGTGATGCGATGACATCCTACATACCTCGAGACCAAGAGTTGCCATTGCCATTCGATCAGAACTCCGGCTTCTTGTTTCGCGCCAAAGTCCACATATTCTCCATCTTCGTCTTCGAAAGCACATCCTTTGCCTCGCCATCTGTCTCGCAGGCGCGACTTCCCCATCGTTTGAATACTCGCGCAGCTTCATCACCCTCCCAGACCAACAAGCATTGATTATGCGAGAGGTCTTTGAGATTACCGTCTTGATCCAGAGGATGACACCATTCTTGCGCTTTGCTACCCTGACCTCTAGTTCCTTTGTTGATATCATTTATGCTGCCGTCGGTAAACCCTGTGAAGGTGGTCGGCTCGTTATCTGGCGGAGGTGCAGTGTTCTCTTGCCACTTCACACGCTTCAGCATCAACTTCTTGTATGCAGTGATGCTGTGTGAGCCGCCTTCGACAATGACCAGATTCATAGTGGGATTGAGGATGACAATGCCAGTCAGGCCATTCTGCTTGGCGTTCATGTCCACTTGGTACCGGTGCTTGCCAGAACTCAAGTCGTCAACCCGGAAAACAGCAACCTTGACACCTTTAGCCTCATCACCCGCCTGCTGCTGTTTCAACTTCTCTGCTCGCTGCTCGGCAGTAAGTGCACGGTCCGCATTGGCTTGCTCGTGGTCGTGCGCTCTCTGGGCTATCTCACGATTGACTCGTGCTTCGACTGCAGTCGGATCCTTTACAGCCTGTTCGCCAAGCACTCTCATCATGTTCGACTTCTTCACTTTTGGCGGTGGTGGTTCAATTAGACCGAGTCGAATCTTGGCCTGTTCTTCTTTCATATCTGCCATTCGTCTCTGCCGTCGTAGCTTCTTCTGCTCCTTTGTGGTCAGCATTAAAGGTTTCGGCCCCGGCATGAACTTGTCTTGTGGTGCTTGCAACAGCACAGGCCGCTGTATCAGAGCAGTGATGATGCTGTCTTCAGTCTCAATCTTATTCCTCCCCGGCGCCTCCCAGTCTTCATAGCTATTCTGGCCTTCTGGAAGCAGACCTTCGTCCCACCATTCAATCTCTGGGGGCGCTGGAACCAAAAATGACTTGTCTGATGCTTCCTCAATCTCGGCCTTGCGCGTCTCGGCAGCAATACGTCGTTTCATCTCCTCCAGTTTGGCTTGCTGTCGCAGAGCATTGGCCTGGGCCATGTATTTGCCTTTTTGACTGAAGACCAGCTGCTTACTCTTCCTCTCAGCATATTTGCGTGCAGTAGGCGCGAATGCTGGATCCTCATGTTCCTGCTGCTGCTCCGGCGGTGCGTCGGTCAGATATGGATTGAGTTTTGGCTTCTCTGGCTCGCGGTTGCCTTTCACAGTGCTGAATTTTGGACCCTGATGTGCTCCTTTTCCCTTGTCTGCAGACGCATCTCCCATGAGCGAAGGATGCAGTCCAATACCAAGACCACCTCTGGCACCGCGCACATCTGTTCTCGGAGGAGGAGCAGCAACGACAGGTGAGGCGGGCTTTCTCCTTGCGATCTCTGCCGCTCTTGCCCTCGCTTCGGCCATTTGCCTCTGTTGCTCAGTCATCTGCTGCGACTGCGGTGGTGGTGCCCCAGGCGCTGCTCCTCCACTTTTCGCAGCCATTTTCGCCTTGAGCTCTGCGATCTTTCGCTGCGCCTCTGCTCGCTTCGCGGCCTGATCATCTGCTGGTGCTGCCGGAGGAGGCGGTGGTCTTGTTGGCACCGCTCCTGTTGCTGGGCTCGCTCCATTTGGCTTATTGGCAGCAATCTTTGCTTTCAGTGCTGCCATCTTTTCCGCCGTCTCCCTCTTCTTCCGCTCCAGCTCCGTCTCCTCTCCAACTCGCTGCCTCTTGGCATCAATATCAGCGCCATTCGCTTCGTGAGGGCGCTTTCCAGTCATGTTTGCGGTGTTGCTGTGTGAGAGTCTGGCGCGTTTTCGGCTCTCTGCAGTCACAAATCTGCGCGCACGGGCGACGGCGGCCCGGCGGGAAATCCGAACAGGCGAGGGCCAAGCTTCTGGTAGCCTGAACTTTAACCTCGAGGCAGGAACGACTTTTTTCTGAGAGCTCGATATGGCTTTGGTGTGATCGCAGCGGCAGACGCACAACGACAAAATGAATCCGTCGCAGCCCGTATCGTCGCAGATATCCAACGTCAGGTTCGGCTATTTGACAGCTGATCATGTGCGCCAATTGTCCGCCAAGCGCATCACGAGCGCCGTCACTTTCGACACTCTCGCCAACCCGATTCCTGGTGGATTATACAGTGCAGAGCTGGGCCAGTTCATGGACAATGCCTGCGCAACGTGTGGCTTAAAGAACCCGCAATGTCCTGGTCACCCGGGTCATATAGAACTGCCGGTACCATGCTACCACCCGACATTCTTCGACCAGATCCTGCGATTGCTGCGAGGAGCATGCATATACTGTGGCAAGCTCAAGATGAAGCGCATATTGGTTACGAGGTTCATATGCAAGCTGAGGCTGGTGCGGCACGGTCTGTTGAAAGAGCTGAAAGAGCTGGAAGAGAAGGAGATTCAAGCTGCGAGTGATCCTACCAAGGCAGGCGCACATGTGGATCAGGACGAGGACGAGTCCGATGCTGGGGACGCGGACACGAGAGCACTTTCCTTGATGCTGGAGCAATATGTGAACGATGCCATCAAAAGAGCGAGAAGGAATGGCACATTATCGACTGCCAAGTCGGAAGCAACAAACGCTGAGCGACGGCGAATAATACAGGATTTTATGAGCAACATCAACAAGGGCAAGAGGTGCGGAAATTGTGGAGGCATCAATCACAGCTATCGCAAGGATCGATTCGTGAAGCTCTTCAAAAAGCCCTTGAGTGAGAAGGATCATGCCGCAATGGTACAGAAAGGCTTGAAGGCGAGGGATCCGTTGGTTGAGATGAGGAGGAAGCTCCGAGCTGAACGAAGTCGGAAGAGAAAACGAGACGAAGATGAAGCTGTGGCAGATCTCGATCGAACTTCGGAAGAAGAGGTGGAAGAGGAGTCGGAAGGAGAGCCGACTATCATAGGCGGTGACCTTGAAGATGCCATGGTCATTGATGGCGCCGCTGAGACTGCCGCTCGAGCCCAAAAGAAGCCAAAAGCTCAGGACGAGTATCTCAATCCCAGCAGAGTTTATGCTCAGCTTCAGCAGCTCTTTGAAAGCGATGCCGAAGTGCTCAGCTTGGTATATGGTCAAGCTAGCCGGAAAGGTCTATCGGCAGACATGTTCTTCCTTCAAACCTTGCTTGTTCCTCCGAATCGCTTCAGACCTGAGGCCAGACAAGGAGATGGTGCAATCAGTGAAGCCTTGGAAAACGGCGCATACCGAAGCATTTTGCAGAACTGCGACACCATCACAGAAATACAGCGAGAACTCAGTGGCGGCAAGCCAGCGGAGACGCGATACAGAGAGCGGACATATGCCGACCTTGAAAGCGCTTGGCTTGTGCTGCAGGAGAACGTCAACACGCTGATAGACAAAGACCGCTCTCCTTTGCAAGGTGCTGCGAATGCCCGAACGCCGGACGGCATCAAGCAGAAACTGGAGAAGAAGGAAGGTATGTTCCGAAAGTACATGATGGGTAAGCGTGTCAACTTCGCTGCTCGTACTGTCATCTCGCCCGATCCGAACATTGAGACGAATGAGATTGGTGTCCCTCCAGTCTTTGCTGTCAAGCTGACATATCCGGAACCCGTCACGCAATGGAATTACGAAGAACTCCAAGCAGCTGTACAGAACGGACCTCACATCTGGCCTGGCGCTGTTGCAATAGAAAGCGAGAATGGATCCGTTATAAGCTTGGAAAGGAAAAATCCCGAAGAGCGGCTAGCTTTGGCGAACTCATTACTTGCACCTTCGCCATCTGGCAACACACGAGGAGCACGACCGAAGAAAGTGCATCGTCATCTTAACAATGGCGATATTGTCATCATGAATCGACAGCCCACCCTCCACAAACCGTCTATGATGTGTCATCGAGCAAGAGTACTACCTGGAGAGAAGACACTTCGTATGCACTATGCAAATTGCAACACTTACAACGCCGATTTCGATGGTGACGAAATGAACATGCATTTCCCGCAGAACGAGCTAGCGAGAGCAGAAGCGCTGTCCATCGCTGACACAGATCATCAATATCTGTCTGGAACCGCCGGCAATCCGCTTCGAGGTCTCATTCAAGACCACATCTCGATGTGTGTCTGGCTGACGAGTCGTGACATGTTCTTCGAACGAGGAGACTACATGAATTTGCTGTATGCAGCTTTACGGCCGGAATCTGGGCATTGCTCAAATGGCAAGGTGGAAACAGTGCCGCCAGCTGTCTTCAAGCCAAAGCCTATGTGGACAGGAAAACAGGTTGTCAGCACCATTCTGAAGAACCTGCAGCCACAAGGCGCTCAGGGCCTGACCATGAACGGTAAGAGCACAACGCCTGCCACGATGTGGGGTAAGGTTGGCAAGGATGAGGGTGAAGTGATCGTGAAAGATGGTGATCTGCTGCAAGGTATCCTTGACAAAAAGCAGATCGGACCTGCATCTGGTGGATTCGTCAACGCAGTCTACGAAGCTTACGGCCACACAATCGCTGGTAAGCTGCTCAGCGTGCTCGGTCGACTCTTGACAAAATTGCTTCATATGCGCGCATTCTCTTGTGGCGTCGAAGATTTGATATTCACGCGAAACGGCGAGGAAAGCAGACAGAAAGCGTTGGCTGGCGCACAGACTGTCGGTCTGGAAGTTGCATCGAAATATGTGTCGCTGCAAGACCAAAAGCCGACGAGCGAAGACAAAGAGTTGAAGCGGCGACTGGAAGATGTCGTGCGAGAAGACGCAAAACTTCATGGCTTGGATCTGCTTTCCAACGCTGCTACAGCACAGCTCAGTAGCCAGGTTTCAACAGATTGCATGCCTGCTGGACTTGCCAAGCCTTTCCCGAAGAACCAGATGCAGACCATGACCAATTCCGGTGCGAAGGGATCGAAGGTGAACGTCAACCTCATTTCTTGCAATCTAGGTCAACAGGTCTTGGAAGGTCGAAGAGTACCAGTAATGGTCAGCGGGAAGACTCTGCCTTGTTTTGCGCCCTTCGACTCCAGCGTGCGGGCAGGAGGATACATTGTCGACCGTTTCTTGACAGGTATCCGCCCGCAAGAATACTTCTTCCACGCCATGGCTGGTCGAGAAGGTCTCATTGATACAGCTGTCAAGACTTCACGTTCTGGATACCTTCAACGTTGCTTGATCAAGGGTATGGAAGGGCTACGCGTTGAGTACGACACGACTGTACGTAACACAGAAGATGGCAGTGTGGTGCAATTCTTGTACGGCGAGGATGGCCTCGATGTCGGAAAGGCGAAGTACATGGATGACTACAAGTTCACCGCAGAGAACTACCTTTCGCTCTTCAACAGCATGCAGATGGGTGAGGCATTCGACAGACTGCTCAGTCAAGAGGCAAAGGATCACAACAAAGCCGCTGAGAAGAAATTCCGCAAGACAGGGGACCTTGGCAGTTCTGATCCTGCAATTGCGTTGTATTCACCAGCAAACCATGTCGGAGCTATCAGCGAGAAGCAGTTCACGCAAATCCGCGACTACATTGAGAGCAATCCTCATAGGCTCGTGAGGGATAAGAAGCAGGGAGTCGATGGGCCATCAACGCTCTCGAAACGGAATCTAGAGCACATTCTTGCGGTGCGCTACCTCAAGTCAGTGGTTGAATCGGGAGAAGCTGTCGGTGTCGTTGCAGGCCAGTCTGTTGGTGAACCGTCCACACAGATGACGCTGAACACTTTCCACTTGGCTGGTCACGCTGCAAAGAACGTCACACTAGGTATTCCTCGTCTACGAGAAATCGTGATGACTGCTGCGAAGGAGATCTCAACACCGCAGATGACGCTGCTCATGAATCGTGGTATCTCTGCGGAAGATGCGAAAAAGTTTGCAAAGGGTATCAGCAAGCTCAGTCTGGCAGAAATCATTGACAAAGTGACTGTTTCCGAGACGGTCGGCAAGGGCATTGGATATGGCGAGGCGAAACAGTACAGTATTCGCTTGGACTTCTTCCCGAGCGATGAATACCGACGCGAGTACGCCATCACTGTCCAGGATGTTGTGCGGACGATCGAGCACAGTCTCCTGCCAGTCCTCCAGAAGACCGTCCGGAAAGAGCTGAAGAAGCGCGGTGATGCCAAGACACTCAAGGGCGTGGAGGCCGCGCTGGGCGAAGTTGGTAAGAGCAAGGGCACAGTCGAACAGGAGCGGACGCATCCTCAGGCCGATCGCGAGGGCGGCGATGACGACTCAGATGGCGAGGGAGACGACGATGCTACCCGCGACAAGACCAAGAGCAACCAGCAGCAGGCTGGATACGAGGCCTTCGAAGACGATGAAGAGCAAGACATCCAGCGCGATCTTCGAAGAAGGGATGCGACGCCCGAACCTGAAGACGCCCCTCCTGAAGATGAAGCATACGGCGGTTCAGAAAGCGGGTCGCCAGAGCCCGAAGAGTCATTTAGAACCGATCGGAAGAACATCGCTGCCAACCGTCTCGATCGGATCAAGGGCTCCGACAAGACCAACGACATCGCCTCCTTCGAGTTCGACGACCGAAAAGGCTCTTACTGCAACTTCGTCATGGAATACGACTCGACAACCGCCAAGATCCTCATGCTTAACCTCCTTGAAACCTCCCTCCGAAACTCCCTCATCCAACACGTCGACAAAATCGAAGGCTGCATGCTCGACGAAGAAGCCCTCAAAGACGCAGCAAAGAAGAGCCCTGATGTCACTCCCACACCAACCCTCCTCGCTTCAGGCGTCAACATAAAAGCAATGTGGGACTTCCAACACGCCATAAACCCAAACCACATCTACACCAACTCCATCCACGACATTCTACTCTACTACGGCGTCGAAGCCGCCCGCGCCGCCATCGTCAAAGAACTCCAAAGCGTCTTCGGCGGTCACGGCATCAGTGTAGATCCTCGCCACCTCATGTTGATTGCCGATTACATGACGAGGAATGGCGGATATCAGGCTTTCAGTCGCATGGGCTATGGAAGTAATGTTAGTCCGTTTATGAAAATGAGTTTTGAGACTACTGTGAGCTTTTTGAAGGATGCTGTGTTGAATGGTGAAGTTGAGGATTTGAAGGGGCCGAGTGCGAGGATTGTGGTGGGGAAGGTTGGGGGGATGGGGACGGGGATGTGTGATGTTTTTTTGCCGGTTAGGGAGAGGGGTGTAGAGGAAGAGGAAGAGGAGGGGGATGTTGAGATGGAGGATTGAGAGAGATTTTGGGTTGGGAGTGGTGGTGTATGGTATGGTATTTCTGTTTGAGAGCGATGCTTTGCTCAGTAACAGGCGGGCATAAGATGTATAGAAAGCATGGGTATGGCCCAATTTTTTCACATCTCATCGTCTCTTGGAGCGCACCATGCTGAATTTCGACATTGCCGCGGGACTCGTTCCGGTGATTGCAGAGTTCGAAGGTGGCGGCCCTCCTTACATGTACGACACTGACGAGAATGGATCACGAGCTTCAAATAGGTTTGTTTATATACGCGAAGAGGTAGTGCACGTATTGACGTAGCCAGGCCTACATATGCCAACGGTTGGCACATGCCACAGCGGCCTGTAAGCCCAATTATTCACTCATTCACTCACTAATCGTTGAGACCGTGCTGTATACATGTATAAATGTAGCTAGCTAATCGTAGTAAAGGCTCGCCGGCCTCCTACGCTATGCGTTATCCAAATCCAGAAATTCAAAAACTCCAAACGCCGTCATGCTTTCTGTCGCTCAGTCAATCTGACAACTCACCTCACCTGCCAGGTGATTTTCTCTATCTCCCTTCATTCAAAGCATTGCGACCCTCGAGCTTGCGAAGAGAGTCCTGCAGCACCCTAAGACTCTCCCCAGTGAGAGCACCAATCTTCTCTAAGTCGTCGCAGTCGACGTCTCGAATCACTGGATCGGAGAGGCGAATAACCATAGTCTTACGATCCAAAGCTCCCCTACCGGTCTTATACTCGACTTTTAGAATCGGAGCATTAGGATTCTGCGGCGTATAGTCTTCTTCTTTGGCGCTATACGGCATCAAATTGAGGTGTTCAACCCATTCGTTCTTTGGCACTTTTGCGAGGCCAGTGTCGCCGTGAGTCAAGACTCTACACTCCTTGACGCGTCGGACGTGGCGCGTATCGATGATGAAAGTGCGTGCTTTGTCTTCTTGGAGCACACCGTTGCGATCCTTCCAGACGCCTGGATCGCCTTCCTTCTTCGTTGAGCCTGCTGGCAAGGGGAAGGTATCGGTGTGGCGGACGATCAAACCTGGTACTTGGTCGGAGAAGAGAACTTGATGAAGCGCCGTCCTGAGGGGTGCTGCGACGGTTGACTTGGTTCCATACCTGCCGATGAATGAAGTTTTCGTCGATTGCTCGTTCCGCTTGAGCTTGTGAGTGTGCGTCGCTCTCTTTAGGGCCAGCTGCTGATGTTTGACTTGCGCCTCCTGGATCATATTCTTGGCTCCCTGCGTTTTCTCGCGCTCACGACCCCAGTCACCATCCATGTTTCGATGCCCATTACGAATTTTGGCATCATGGTCGTAAGCCGCGGTGAGTTTTTCTTCGTGGACTTTCTGATCGAACTTCCGTTGTTGGTGCTTTGGTCGAATGAATCCATCGTCCTCTTGATTCTGTTCCTTCGTGCTTGGGGCCTGTTGAGAATGTACATTATTCTCTTTGCCAAGTGTCAAGTCCGATGGGGTGGTAGCAGGAATGTATAGCTGATTGGGAGGTAGTTGTCGGGTGTTAGTAGTATCCTTCAAGACCTCCGCCGGGTTCTTGTCCTTCTTCGGGAGAAACCCGAGGAATCGCTGACCGGTCATGCTGATGGTGATGAGAGTTTCGCTTGTAGTATAGGGTCGTGGATATGCGGATTGCTTAGATTGTATAAGTTAGGCACGAAGCTTGTGTTCAGTGTCGTTGTAAGCTAGGGACCCAGTGTGAGGAGAGTAAGTCTACTAGCGAAGAAAAATTAGAAGTACTTCAGCGAGTGTCGAACGTGAACGGAGCATTCACAGGCAATACTCCTTCACACTTGCTTTTCGACAGATCAAGTGAATGCCAACCACTAGTTGAAACAGCTCAGCAGAGCAACCAGTAAATGCAAATTCGATGAAGCGCAAAACAAATCAAGGAGCAATACGCTTCATCTTTCTCGTCGGGAAATGATCGTCTATCCTCAGGAGCAAGACCTGCTGGTAAGCAAGGAATGGACTGCCAAGGCTTGGAGCAGTACAGCAGGCTTGTAATGATCGAAATCGAATTGTGTGAATGCACCCTCGTTCACTGTGCAAGCCCAACTTTGTGTTGGGCAGGGCGGCGGGAGTAATGCGAATGGCACTGTTCACTAGTGAATAAGCAGTCAGACTGGCGACAAAGCATTGTTACCCTATCACGATTAAGCAAACATTTCCTTTATAAGAGCACCTTTCTTCACGGAGTTGGCACTGCTCACGTACCTTCATTTTTTGCAGTATCACTCGAGTTACTCTGCCCCCAATCGAGACCGAATTCGCACGATAGACGGCAGACCCTATACCATGAAGGCAAATTTCGCTCTCGCAGGAAAGCTTGCTTTGCTGCTGACGCCACTGCATAAGATCAGGCATTCAGCCACCATATCAGCATTCAAAAGCGGTCTTCGTCGCACGACCAAGAAATGCCGGACTACGAACATCGAGAAGGATGGATCTGACGCCGCAGACAAGGACTCATCCTCAGAAAAACAAAGATCCGAAGCGTCTCAGTCTCAAACCGGCGGCTACGCTGTAGACTCAGCGCAAAGTCTCATACCCGAAACCGAGCCAGATGAAGGAGACGCTCCGGTCATGTCGCTCGACGATCTCCCAGACGTCTCAAACCCAGAAGTGGATATACTTCACTACAACTTCACCATGTCCAAAATGCAGTTCGAAGATGCACAGCAAATGTTTCTCGCCCGAGAAACAAAATTTGACCAAGAGCTCCAGGAACGCGCTGAAAGACTGAACTCCGGTGAAGAAGTCGAGACAATAACTGAGCTCGATATGCGACAGCTACAGGAATCCAGGCGCTTAACCAGCTGGCTCATCGAAGCAGAGAAGAAATACGATAACGCCAAGTTAGCCCTTTGCGAGGCTGGTGTTCAACCGCTAGGCTCAAACATCGCGTCTGGTTTCATCGATGACGTTGACGATGGTTATCGTATCAGCGAAGAAAAGGCTTGGATTGTGACTGCGAACTCGAGTCGCTTGCGACAGTGGCTCAGCAATATTCCCGACCAGATCGAGGATTCAGAGACTGCTGAAGATCTTCGAGAGAGAGATTTAGATCCGTGGACGGCTGAAGAGGTTGAAATTTGCGATAGTTGGAGCATGGTCGCAGACGGAGCTGAAAGGAGACGAATTGACCGATGGCGGTCTTTGGTGGATGCGATGGCCGTAGGACAGGGTTCGCAAGTCGATGAGTAGAGTCTCGGCTGTGTATAGGTGTCTCGATCGATGTATATTGATAGAGTATTGAATCTGTTTTAGGGATATGTTTTGGTCGAATTTATATCGAGGAGGATACGGAGTCAAAGAAGGTTTCAATCTCGTCCAATCAACCCGTGTTTCGGGCCATGCCGCACTTAGTAAGCACAGTGTCGAGCAGTTCGACTACGAGGACGGAATCAACACGAAGACTGGCGAGTGCCAGCTTACGAACCATATTGGGAACTGTAAAGGAAGCAAAGCAAACAAGGGAAGCTCTCCCGCCTGGACAATCGACAGCACGTCATTCATCATGAAAACTCGAAATCTGAGATTAAATCCAATAGCGTACATGTAAAATTTGGGCCGGTCTTGGTCTTGATACGACTCTACCCAGCGCTACCTAGAATTTCTCCATGCGCCTGAATTTTTTCTCAACGAAGCTCTTCTCTACCATAATGCAATTGAATGCCGTTGTCAAGAAATACCCAAGATCACGCATCCTAGCTGGCGCTCCGAGAGAGCATGAATGAACCTCGATCTTACTGGATTCCCGGAGCCTCCAGAGAGCTAGGGAGCGAAGAAGCTGGGGCAATGGTAGTAGAGGCTCATCGTTGAGAATTCGGTGAAGATAGTGTTGACGAGAATATTCTGATGTGGGGGTTTTGATGCCGTGCCCAAAGGAGATTTGCGTGATGTGATGATGCGTTGCGAAGCCGCTGCCGTTCCAAGCTGATTGAAGAGAGAAACATCGGGCGACGATCGTGAGAGTGTGGGAAGATGCTGCTATCATCATAGGTAGCAGTGAACTTGATCGAGACTACGTTCGCTTCCGCTTCCTAGTCTTTCTTTCACCATTTCCCTGCGCCAGTCGCGACAGTCCCTCGTGAAGCTCGGCAGAGAGTTTGAGCAGTTGACTTAAGGATCGTTTTCGATTTGGTGTACGAGGGGTCTGCTCTTCTGCTTCAGGTGTTGCATCAACAGGCATGAATCCGCGCGGCGAAGGATTGAGAACGGGATCGGCAACCTCATCGAGACCGGGACGACTTGGAGACATCTCGGTGTCATTAGGAGCGCGCTGACTCCGCACATACTGTTGATGCTCGTTTCTCAATCTTCCGATAGGATCTCCGCTACTACCTGCCAGAAGCGGCTCAGACTTAGAACGCAGTCGATTCTTCGCAGCCATACGTACAGGCCCCAACACATGCTTCAATCGAAGGTTGTTGAAAGCGGACCTTTCTTGTTCCAATCTCGTCCTTTCGGCTTCGTAGGCACGTATAGGCGCACCAGGTGACTGCCCCATGGGAAGGAATCGGCCTATGGGAGTGGTGAGCGGAGCCGTTACTTGGACAGAGGCGTGCGGTGTCATCGGGGAGAGGATGAATATTGTCGATGGAGGCGAAGACGCTTGCTCGTCGTCATCGTGTCCACGCTCAGCTGTGGGCGATGGTGGAGATGACATCTGCTCATCATCATCCTGTACATGTCCAGCAGGGTTGGGTCCCGGTGCTGCTGGCGTGTCAATTCTTTCTTCAGATATCTGAGTTCGTGGTTGAGAAGGCATATCTGCTCGGTCGAAGTTCGACTGCTTGCTGATTGATTTCTTGATTGTAAAATCGCCATTCTAATATATGAGTACCGCCTAACCCAGGCTTTCTCCATCATGTTCGATCTTTTCCATTGTCGAAGAAATTTTCACGAGAGACATTGTCCAGTACAAATTCAAGTAAGACTGCTGCTCCGGCTCTTTGTCAGCCATTCACCTTATTTGCATGCTGCCTAGCTAGACTCCGCAGAAACTGTCGCACTTCTGTAGAGGGCGGACTCATGGCATCCATAGCAGCAAAGACAAGCTCAGCCTCCGATATGCCAGTCTCACTGGGTTTGGCCAGTTTTTGATGTGTCCCTCCAGCTTCGTTGGCATTGGTTCCTTGCAATGACGTTCGCGGTCGTCTGATCTTCTTCGGTGTATGTTGTGTTCCTTTACTCATCAGCTCCAGCATCATTTCCGTGAAACGTGTCGGATCTCTGGAATTTCTGGCACAAGAGTGCTTGTCAAACCCCCAAGTGGTCTTGAAGCTCTTTCCACATCCTCCACGTGATTTGAAACATTCCCGACGAGGTTGACTCCTCACAAAGGCCAGATACGACTTTTCCAGACTTTTTATTCCTGGCAGCCACTTTTCGTCACATTTCCGGTGACGATATACCCCGTCTTCATCCGCGCAATTGCCGGCGCACTCACGCTCACTTTGTGCGGAGTCGTAACCTTCTTCTTTTGCTTTGAGCTTCACAATGCATTCGTCCTTCTCGTGTTTGAGATACCTAGCATGGGAGCCGAACGGCTGTTCACACCATCTGCAGTCAAACCTTCCAGCATCCGAACTGCATACCAGATGTCGATACATTCCCTCATCGTCCATGCAGTCACCCATACAATCAGCAGCACTGCCATCTGATGCATATTCGTCTTGAAAGGAAGCTTCCACGGGCGAATTCTGTCTCGCTGGAGCACTTTCGATAGCACTGTAGCCGTGTACCATCCTGGCCCGTCTGGGCGGGTAGAGCAACCCATGATCCCCATAAATCTCTTTCATATTCATGTGGAATGCAGAGCGTTCCTCAGGAGTCCGCGAACTAAAACAGAGATGTGTGAAGAAGCTGAAAATATCGGGGAATTTCTTCCCACAGCCTTGTGGCCGATAGCATTTCCAGACAACGGGGTGGTTCTTGGACTTCCGATGATTCTCAAGGACCACTTCCTGAATAGTTCTTTTATCGCAAGTTCTTGCCGTCACTCCAGCCGGACCGGGAGCGCTCGGATCAGCCTCAGCTGTATCAGACTCACAAAGATCTATGATCTGTACGGGCATGGTGTTCACTGTTCGGAGTGTGTCGTGAGGCTTGGATGTGTTGATAAAGTTGGAACGCGTCCAAGAGCGCGTTGGAGGAAGGTTCGATGAAACTGCTGACTAAGAACCTAATCTACATAAATTGACATTGCGTTAAGAAGGCCGCTATATAGCACTTTATCTCCGTATTATCGTAGCTTCGTATAATTCTAAAATATAACAACTTAATAAAAGTTAGGGCCCCTTTAGGCTTAGTACGGCTTAAAACGGGCTAACCGCGGCCTCTAATTAGTAGACGCGAGGAACGTTAATACCTTAGCGATTCGGAAGGGCGTAGACGTCGTAGTATATACCGCGATAAGCTATAACTTCGATAGTAGTCTCGAAAAGGGCGTATTTATTATATATATCTTATCCGATAGTATTTACTTAAAGCGGTATACTCGATCGCGCTAGTAGCCTTACGGGAAGCGTAATTTAGTACGTACGACCGGTACCGAGGCCCTACTATCGCGAGCTCCGCTATCGGGATCTTATAAATGCGATACTATCGACCTTTTTAGTCGCTATTATAGCTCTATCGACCTCTATAGCCTTCGAGAAGCTATACGAAATTATAGTATCCTTCGCTCGTAAGTCCTAAAGAAGGCGCGCGTCGCGTATACGACTATAGTAGCCGCGTATAACGCGCCTACGTCCGGAAATATAACGACTTTAGTAGGCGCGCGGTTATTAATTGCTACTATAATAACTTAATATTGTAATCGACTATTATAGACTCTACTAGAACCGACCTCGATCTAACTCCCCTAGCCGCTAGATACTTATTCGTATTATACCGGTATAGATTTAACGAGGGCCCGCTACTAACTACCTATTATAGTCTCTCGAGGCCTACTATAATACTCGCGAAGACGTACGCTTAAGATTATAGTCTTAAAGGGTCCGAGGTATAGAAAGCTATAGTAAGTAGTATAGTAGCGGTCGTACTCCGATATAGCGGCTAATAATTCTAGTATAAGGAGGTTTACGGTACTCGGTAGGAATTACTATAAGAGTCGGTAGTTTTCTTTATAAAGATATAGTAAGACTCGCTATTGCTTAGCCTATTATAGAGGATTCTCGATCTATAGCGGTTCGGCTTGTTTCCTTTGTTTAGTATCGTCCCTCGGAAGCTAGACCTTAGGTAGATATTCGAATCGTAGCTAGTAGAAGGATCGACTATCGCGAAGCCTCTTAAGGTATTTTATATCGCTACTAGCCTTTTCTATAACGACGTCGCCGATAAGGCGGCTATAAAGGTCCTCGAGATCTAGTATTAATTCGATATAATATCCGGCTATAGCATTAGCGTCGCCTTGCTCTTAGAGAGTACTACTCGTAATTAGGAACGGACGGTATAGCTCCTAGCCCTATTTAGCGATAAGTATACTAAGATAACCTACTTCTTAGACTATTTCCGGCTCCTCCGTAATAGTATAGGCTTCGACTAGGTAGCGATATAGAGTTGTCTCTTAACTATATATAGCGCTCCTATCTAGCGAAAGCCTTTATTATTATTATTCGGTCTCGCTCCGCTAGAGGAGTGTTATAGCGAGTCGAGCGTTATAATAAACTAAGGCGTAGGCAATCGTAGTATAGAGCGTAAGGGAGAATATAGTATTTAGGGAGGTTACGGAAGGAAATCTACGATAATCTTAGTATATTTATTATAATTTTTAGCGTACTATCTACTTAATAGACATCTTTTTATATCCCTCGATACGATATAAATTTATAGCTCTAGAAGATATATCTTACCGGATTATACCGCTAGAGGTAGATAACGAGCTCCTTCGCCTTAACTCGAGTCCTTAACGACTTCGTTCGTATTAATACCTCCCTAGCGACGATACCGACGTTATAGTAGTAGGATCTAAGCTAGAGTAGCAAGCGTAAGGTCGCGTATTCGTCGTCGCGTTATAAGAGGCTGTTATTATTATCGCGGGTCGCTTTATATCGTCGCTTTATATCGTCGCTTTATATCTATTAGCTAGTATAGGCTTAGCGCGCGGCGACGGTTACGTATACAAATAGTAATATTATAGCGTTACGCGTCGTCTAAATATTACTACTATAATAACTAATATAGCGACTACTTCTACGTAGCTATATCTACCTCCTTCTAGTTATCGATATTACTAGTAGCGACCTCGACAAAGGCGCCCCTCCTATACGGTCTTAGCTGCTATAGCCCTCCCTAATAGTAAGTCTCTAGTATATCGGTCGCCGTACGCTACCTTCGCTAATATCGAGCTATAGAGATAGACGTTCTATATAGTATACCGTAGCGAGCCTTTTAATATTAGGAATTAAATCGCGCTATAGCCGAGATTAAGTACCTCTACGCTTCTATACGACTTCGCTAATAGCTCGCTATAGGCCGGGCCCCGGTATATTAAGAAGCGCTATAAGATATATATAAGCTAGTTACTAAGGAGGTATTACGCCGTATACGCGAGAACCGTAATATAGATAAGAATAACGGCTTCTTTCCTAAACCTCCGTACTATAGTATTATAGATTACCGGCCGTCTAGATATATATCGAGATTAGTATCTCTAGTTATAAATAAGATCTACTAGCGGACGGAGTCTTAGGACGAAGAATACGTAGTATATATTCTCGTATATCGTCTAGTATATAGTAGTAGAAAGCTAACTCTTATAGATCTCTATACCTAAGTAGTTGTAGGACAAGTACCTAGACGGTAACCTTAACGTTATTACTACTTAGGCGTAATAGGAAGAGCAAATAGAAGGGTCTATCGTCTACGTTAATCTAGATACGAATACTAATAGGCTCGACAAACTCGACGAGTTCGAGCCGATACTATACCTCTAAAAGTCTAACTCGCTATTTCCTCGGTATTGTCGCTAGGTATATCCGTCGCGCACCCTAAGAATATAGCGCTTTTACTAACCGGTTCTAGATCGAATTCGCGTAGATAAAGCTTACTACTATAAAGCCGTTTAGTATAGATCGCTTCGTCGTTATTCCTCTATATACGTATCCTACTATAACGAGCCGAACGGATAGCACCTTTATATAGAGGGTCCTAGTTAGGTACGACCTGCGGTTATTAGAGGAAATCTGTCTTCCTAGCGCTATCGATGCTTTACTATAATATAACTAACCCTTCGACTTCCCGCGAAACGATAGCTATATTAAATACTACGACTTCTTCGATATAGAGGCAGAAAGGGACTTCGATATAAAAAGGAGGCTATAGTTAGTATAGAATACTACTAATTTCGGTTATACTTAAATCGATATAGACGACGCGATAGTAATCCTCGATATAGGGCGTAGGAATAGAGAGTTTTATCGTCTAGAGATATATATACGAATAGGAGAGTAGTACGTTTCCTTAGGACTGCTATAAGTACGGTGCTCGCGCCCTAGAGACAGACGCTATCGTAACTTAGAAAGAAGGCGGAGGAGCCTAAGTACGGTATCGTAGGTAGAGCAATCTATCTCCTTTAGTCTATAAACTTTCTATACTTATTATCGTCTCTAGGCCGTAATTTGCCCTTACGCGACGTCTTCGATAGCGTAGCGGCGCGTAGGGTATATTTAAAGCTATATCTCGTTCTTACTACGCGTAAAGACAATACGCTCTCTAAATAGGCGGCGGTACCGGACAAGTTAGAGGCCCTAGATAGACCGATACGTTTAGTTTTAGTCTCTATCTCGTCTTAGTATAGATAAGAAAGCACGTACCTTAGAAGGCTAGGGTTTTTTTTTTATATATATAAAGTTCTAGTATCCCTAAAACACGTAGGCGCTCCCGCTTAGCGCGGTAGCTCCCGGATATAGGGAAAATTACGTATAGGAACTCTAGAATTCGCGGCTATAGCCGGCCGCCTTACGCGAGCGCAAAAGGATAGCTAATAGAGGATTCGAACCTCTAATACTAAAAGTTATACCCTCGCTAGTCGCTACCTCGTATCTCTATAAGGACTACGAGCGAATAACTCTTGCTATCTAGAACCGATCTAATTAGCTAGAGGGTTATAGAATATAGATAATTATATAGATTAAAAAAAAAGTTATAGCTAATAAGGGAATTAAACCCCCTATCCGGACGATCTAGTAGATCGTAGATCGCCTTACACTAATTTTACCGTACCTTTAAAGGTACGGTCGGCTAATATATTCGAGCGAATATAGTTCGGTATCTCGCTAACTAGGGCTAGCTTTAAATAACTAGCGAGGGTATAACCTTTAGGACTACCTAATTAGCTAGAGGTCTCTATTTACGTAGCGGCTATAAGCGTCCCCGCTCGCTTAGCTCCGGTTACGTATTAGAAAGCCGCTCCTATCCGACCTCGCCTTTCTTCGCTATAGGAGTATATATAGTATCGGTAGAGAGTAAATAGAGGATTAGTAGAGACGACGCGAGGAGCGGGCGAGGTTTAGAAAAGGGACTCCCTTTTCGCTATTAGGATAGCGCGGATCGATACGTCTTACTAGCATTTCGCGACGACGAAAGCGTAGGTAGTAAATAAAGGACTAGCGGAGACGACGTAAGGAGCGGGCGAGGTTTAGAAAAGGGACTCCCTTTTCGCCGTTAGGATAGCGCGGATCGATACGTCTTACTAGCATTTCGCGACGCCGAAAGAGTAGGGAGTAAATAGAGGATTAGCGGCGTACGCGGTCGGTACAATTTTCGCGGCGGTAGCGAGTATAGAAGAGGAGAGTAAAATATATAGTTAGATATAGGCGACGGTAAGGGTAGGACTATTTTTATTTTATTTCTACCGATTTAGGTACTACCGGAATCGCGATATCTTTAGATACGGCCGTTAATTACCTCTAAACTCTAGCTCGTTAATAGCCTTTAGGTATACGTCGCTAACTCTCTACTTCTATAATATCTTAGGTTACTAGTCCGTATATCTAAAGCTAGCCTTATTCTACGCCTTCTCTAATATCTAGGGCCGATACTTGTTCTCCCTATCTTATACGGAGCGGAACGTAATATTATATTAGAGGCCTCGAGTACCTT